ATTTCCCGGATTTTCCCGGGAATTGTTTTTTGTTTTTCCTGCAGCTCCGTCAGCGACGTCTCTGTGCTGAAGCTGAAGGTGGAGAAATGTTCCCGCCAGGATTCCGTCTTCATGAAGAAGGTTCTGGAAAATCCCGGGAAAAATTCCCAACTTTTCCCAAATTCCCGAGCCTCCAAAGCCGGGAATTCCGGCCTCTCCACGTTTTCCGTGGAATTTCGCCGATTTCTTCCCAAATTCCCGCTTTTCCCGGTTGGAAATTCACGTCCCCACGCGGGAATTTATGGTCCCTAAAAATTCTCAGCCCCAAAGAATTCCCCCCCCAAAAAAAAACCCCAAAATCCTAAAGAATTCCCAGAAATCCCAAAAAATCCTGTGAAGAATCTCCAAAAAAAATCCCCCAAGAATTCCCAAAAACCCTCAAAATCCCAAAGAATTCCCAAAAATCCCCAAAATCGCCAACAATTCCCAAAGAATTCCCCCAAATCCCCAAGAATCCACAAAAAATCCCCAACAATTCCTAAAAAATCCCCCCCAAGAAATCCCAAATCCCGAAGACTTCCCCAAAATCCTCCAAAAACTCCCCAAGAATTCCCACAAACTCCCCAAAATCCCAAAGAATTCCCCCAAAATCACCAAAAGTTCCCCAAAAATCCCGCTAAAATCCCAAGGAATCCCAAAAAATCCCAAAGAATTCCCAAAAATTACACAAAAATTCCCAAAAATTAAAAAAAATCCCAAAAAATCCTCCAAAATTTTCCATAAAACTCCCAAAAAATCCCCCCCAAAACCCCAAAATTTCCCTCAAAAATATCAGAAAATTAAAAAAAATCCCCCAAAATTCCCAAAAAACCCCAAAATTAAAAAAAAAATCCCCTAAAATTCCCCCCAAAATTCCCAAAATTTCCCCCAAAAATTCCTAAAAAAAACCAAAAAAAATCCCCCCAAAATTCCAAAAATTAAAAAAAAAAATCCAAAAAAATTTTCTAAAAAATCCCAAAAAATGCCAAAAATTCCCCCAAAAAACCCCAAAAAATTCCTTCAAAAAATTCCCCCCAAAATCCCAAAAAAGTCCCCCAAAAAACCCCAAAATTCCCAAAATTAAAAAAAAAAAATCGAAAAAAACCCCCCAAAATTCCCCAAAAATTCCCCAAATTCCCCCAAAAATTAAAAAAAATCCCAAAAAATCCCCAAAAATTCCAAAAAAATTTCCCCAAAACCCCCCCAAAAATACCCCAAAAAATCCCCCAAAATTCCCAAAATTTCCCCCCAAAATTCCTAAAAATATACAAAAAAAACCCCCAAAAATTCCCAAAATTCCTAAAAAAATCCCAAAAAAATCACAAAAAATTTTTTAAAAAATCCCAGAAAATCCCCCCAAAATCCCCCAAAAAATCCCCAAAAATTCCCAAAATTTCCCCCCAAAATTCCTAAAAACATACAAAAAAATCCCCCAAAAATTCCCAAAATTCCCCAAAAAATCCCCCAAAAAATCCCAAAAAATTTTTTAAAAATTCCCCAAAAAACCCCCCAAAAATCCCAAAAAATTCCCAAAATTTCCCCCCAAAATTCCTAAAAATATACAAAAAAATACCCCAAAAATTCCCAAAATTAAAAAAAAAATCCCCCAAAAAATCCCAAAAAATGCCAAAAATTCCCCCAAAAAATCCAAACA